CATCTATAGACACCTGTCCATAAGACACCTATAGACACCTGTCCATAAGACACCTATAGACACCTGTCCATAAGACACCTATAGACACCTGTCCATAAGACACCTATAGACACCTGTCCATAAGATACTATTAGACACCTGTCCATAAAGGCACGCTTTTGACACTTCCCTTGACTTCACAGTAAAATCACTGCTACTGAACGGATGCCTGTCCTTAAAACAGGACACGCGTAGGGGTTTCTCTTGAGCGACCGCTATACACAGGTTCGACTGTGTGCAATAAGGGCAGTCAGGTCTTCTTCAGTGCGAAATTGTGACGTACGATGGTATCGTATCAGGAGTGTCATACGATAGATTATATTATGACATATTATGACTATATTATGACTATATTATGACTATATTATGGCATATTATATAATATTATATATTAGTTAATATTATATATATTATATTATGACATATATATGTAGTCTATATTATGACACTCATGGTCGTATTGTGCCCCCATATTCACACTTCTCACTCCCCGTGTACTTATTCAAGCTTGTAATAAGAGCCTCGGAGGCAATAACAATCTGTAGTTGTGCTACAACAAATCAAATCAAACAAATAAACTATCAATAACAAATGTGCTTTCGCAGGGGTTTAATTCCCAAGCACAATGTACAGCATACAAGGTACAGCAACATCTACGGGAACTTTGGTGAAGACACACATGCAGACCAGTTTCATTGCCACGTGTGACGGTGGCGCTATTACGTGTGTTCGTGCATGGGCTCGCGTGTGAAGCCAACACGACAAAACATCGTCACGTATCATACTTTAACCACACACACGCACGCATGATGGAAGGGGAATGTTGTAGAATATGCTGTACACCAAGGAGCTAAATATAACAAGGAGAGGAAGCGGATTGGCTGTGTGCTTTTCGCCTCAAGGGCGCCATCTATGGACCATAATCAGCTGAAACGGCTGTGCAGACCGTTTTCGCCTCAAGGGCGCCATCTATGGACCATAATCAGCTGAAACGGCTGTGCAGACCGAACCCAGAGACAATCGAACACTAATCTGTTCTAGGGTCTCTGCCGAACCAAAATTTGGGCCAGATATGGCGGCGCTTCCTCTCCTTGTTATATTTAGCTCCTTGCTGTACACGAGGTGCCAATGCGAGCAATGTTTACTTTCATCGGTGTGTCGCCGCCTCCGGGAATGAAAGCAATAATCACAGGGGCGCTTATAACGGCGCCTATGTCCCGCCAGATCTACAGAAGCTGTTGTTAGTAAACAAAACTGCCCAGTCGGAGCTCGGTTCCTGGGTCGCTGTTAGCTGCGCGGTGTGCTTACCCGATGGTATGTGTTGGTGCTTCTCTCACCTTAGCTAAACAACAGGGCGTATCGTAAAGACTAAAGTTAGCAGCAGTGCCTAAGCGTGGGTTATAAGTTACGTACCCTCGTATAATAATGCCCATAAAATGTTGGTCGTTTGACGTTGGCTGTGTCAGTTGTTGGGTCATCACGCCCCGTGTGAACCGGTGTCGTGCTCACCAGGAGATATCTGTTGCGAATCGTGAAATTTAGCGCGTACTCGCCTTAATCCTGTATATTGCTACGTGATCTGTGCCGGAAATCTTTATCGTTATGGTGTATCGAATATTAGTCAACAAAAGCTCTTTGTTTAGGCTGTAACAATGCAGCCTCTCTCCCACACGCGCGCGCGCGCGCGCACACACACACACACACACACACACACACACACACACACACACACACACACACACAC